TAGAACATTAGGGTTTCGTTTGGGGGAACATGCATTGCTAAACAAAATAAGGTGTTAAATTCAGTTAGCTCCGATTATTATTTACGTATCAAATTTGTTATACGAGGTGTTTATTAACATTGTCGTGGTCCGCACTTGATAAATTCGTTAAATAAGAGAGTTTGACGTGTTTGATAGGCACGCCATTCAGAACAAACCATAACTGTTTCACTTCTCCTTCCAATTTTAGTGCCCGATGTAAGAGGACTGATGCCGGAACCATCTTCAATGTGTCCTTACATGCGAGATGGAAAATATGCCGAAACTGGGATTCTTTTTTGAAATATGTAAATTCTTCATCCGTCAAGACCTTTTTAAGAGATCTAACAGTCTGATATGGATAACATTTCGTCGTGATCTTAGGAGCCATATGAATGTCCTTAAAATCATACACAAAAGGTACCTGCAAAAACAAATTTAACACTCATTATCAAACACGTCAAACACGTCAAACACGTCAAACACGTCAAACTCGTCAAACTCGTCAAACTCCGACTTGTTTGACGAGTTTGAACATTTTCGAGACTCGAATAGTTTGACTTGTTTAACGGGTGCGCTAAGTTTAACTAATATCTAGCATGACCATTAATCTATGTTTTAGTGCATCCGACTGTCGACAATATCATCGTGACTCGATTTCTATCCGTCTTTTTCACAAAACACTGTTTTTCACCCAATCCGAAAACCCTATTTCGATATTTCAGTGACAATTTGTCATTCAAACCATAGTTTTTAAAATTTTTATTTCAAACCCTATTCTTAACGAAAACTTAATAGAAAATCTAAAACCGAATCTCAATGTATATCCGAAACCCTAAAAAATTTGATTTTTGCGGAGTTCAAAAACTATACCTGGAGGTCTTTGCAAATAGGGTCCGAAGAGGAGGCCGAATATGATGAAGATGAAGCCATTCTTCGTGCAAGTTTGACGAACTCGCACAGAAAGATCGTACAGAAAAATCACAGAGTGAAGAGAAACTGAAGAAGGGGAAGAAGAAACGATACTATGAAGTCTGTCGAAATGGGGCAAAAAAAACTGTTTGGTTTTTCAAATTTTTTTGATTTAGTAACTTCCCAATTTTTGATCTTTCTCTTTCAAATGTTGACACGTGTATCATTTAAAAGGGGTAACGGTGTCTTTTCATTCTTTTCCAATTTTTTTTTGAAGGTTTTTTGTTTGAAGGGTATCTCATGTAAATGAAATCGACATTTAAATGTATTTTTGTAATATTACCCACTAAATTACTAGTAGCAGAACGAAAGCTGTTTCTCTGTCAATTATCTCCTCCTCGTGAAGGGAAACCTCGTCTCTCTCTCCTCGAGAATTACGCTGCACTAACCACAAAACCCATCCACGGCCAGAAAAATACGAGAGAGAGAGAGAGAGAGAGAGAATGACGGCAGCGGGAGGAGGAGCGAGGACGCCGACGTGGAAAGAGAGGGAGAATAACAAGAGGAGAGAACGTCGCCGGCGAGCCGTTGCGGCGAAGATTTTCGCCGGACTTAGAGCTCAGGGCAACTTCAGACTCCCCAAGCACTGTGACAACAACGAAGTCCTCAAAGCCCTTTGCGCCGATGCCGGTTGGATCGTCGAAGACGATGGCACCACCTACCGAAAGGTTCCGCCTTTTCTCTTTCTAGATCTGCATGCTCGGTTCTTTTTCTGGGTTCTATGCGCTTGCATTGCTCTGATCCGTATTCGGATTAGATCTAGATCTCGCATCTGACTGTGAATTTTCTCGGGAAACAAACAGGGGTCCAGACCAATACTGGCGGACAGCACAGGCGCGACCCCGCCGCGCGTGAGCGCGTGCTCCTCGGTGCAGCCAAGCCCACAATCCTCGGCCTTCCCCAGCCCGGTTCCTTCGTACCATGCGAGCCCGGCCTCGTCCTCATACCCGAGTCCAACCCGGTTCGACCACAACCCGACCCGGTTCGACTCGAACCCCTCGGCCTACCTCCTCCCATACCTCCAAAACCTGGCGTCCACCGGAAACCTACCTCCCCTGCGAATTTCCAACAGTGCCCCTGTCACTCCGCCGCTTTCTTCCCCCAGAGGATCGACCCCGAAGCTACCCCTGTGGCAAATCAGTAATTTCGCCGTCTCCGCCCCGTCCAGCCCGACACGGGGTCTACTCAATCGCACCGCGATTCCCGAATGCGACGAGTCGGAGGTTTCGACGGTGGATTCCGGTCGGTGGGTCTGTTTTCCGGCGGCTGTGGCTCCGCCGTCGCCGACGTTTAACCTGGTGGAACAAAGCTTATTGGTAAAGCCGAGGGAGGGTGAGAAGATTCACGAGGTCGGGGTGGATGACTTGGAGCTCACGCTAGGAAACGCCAAAGCACGCGGTTGAGGAGGGGCATTATCGTAAAATCACTACCATTCGATTGACCCGGTCAATTTGATCGAGCCTTCTCCTCCTCTAACCTTTTTAGCTTCTAGTGTTTCGTCGTGTTCTTCCTCTGTATTTCCATGTACAGGCCACTTGTATTTCAATCTAATTTCATTTTAAATCAAAAGTAGTAGTTTATAAATTTACTGTTAGAAATTGATATGCAGATGGATAGGTGATATAAAATTACGTTTGAATCCGTTAATTAGGTTCGATTTCGTATTATATTTGATTTTATATAGAATTCTGTTCGATCCAGATTTTTATTTTTTTTTATGTAAAGAATTCTAGTTGATTCGTTATAGATTCGGATTTAGTTTTTATATACAACTTACGTAGAATTTCGGTCGATGAGTTTTTTTACGTATGATTTTTTCGATTCGAATTTTTTTAATGTAGGCTCCATTCATTTTTGGATTATGATTTCTTTAATTGGGGGCATGTGATATTTCGTTACCACGCATGCCCTTTGAATCTGGCCACTTTCTCAAACCAATAATATCTTCTTATGTGACCCATCTCTCTCTTGTTGTTTCACGTATTTTTGGACTGACATGGCGACAAAGACAGGATCTATATCAAGTTCGGCATATATGAGATATATTCGGAAGAAATATAAAAGATATTGTTAATATGCGTAGAGAAGGATCAAATCATTGAGGACTGTTGCACGTGGAAGAAAAAACGATTGATCCACGAGAGATAGATATCAACCTCAATATAACTGCGAATTTTACAAACTACGCAAGGCGAATGCGGTCGCGGTCGGAGATCTAGGTGCAGTGTAAAATATACTATATGCTGGGGAAGCCCCATCTCAGTTGGCAAATGACCACCCCAGCTTATACTCAAGATTGTGAGAGGCGGCAGGTTCGATTTGTCCTGATGTCAAGCTTCCTCCTCAACTGATCAGTTCGCTGGACTGTTATCTCCGGGTTGGTTTATCTTCTTGGCATGGCTTACCGGCTATTGCGTTGAGTCGTTGGGTTTACCGTCCGCGATAACGTGTCATTCGTCCGGCCCGCTGGACTACTAATTCCGGGATGTGAAGCGTTGCGATGTCCGGCCCGAAGGGTCGAGGGCGGATTCCCAACGTCATCCAAACAAATATATATATATATATATATATATATATATATATAATATATGCTCCCAACCATATACAAAAATGTATTATATGTTCCTTATTTTTCATTACATGAAGTCAATTTTATCTTGCATGACTTAGTCTTATATTTCAGAACAATAATATATCATATGCCACTGAGGGGGTTGGATCATGTGTTTTGCCTCCATTCCCTCGGTTGGCATAAAGTCAAAGACTTGGTCAACATTTGTCATGTCCCGGAGATGATATAGATCCAGACATTACGCTAGTCGATTCGTAATTGGTCAGTTCAGATACAAAACAATCTAAATTTAGTTCTAAAAATATATTACATGTAGAACTTGGGCCTGAAATGGAATAGATTTTTGGGATTTTTAAAATCTAAAAACAAAAATAGACATTCAAATTTTAATAAAATTATTTGTTAAAAAATTTAGAAAGTCTTTTTGAAAAAATCAATCAAAAACTAAAAAACTCCATTTTTCTGGGATTTACAAAAACTAAAAATCAAAAATAAAAAACTAAAACTAAAACTAAAAATTACTGGGCGATAGAACGTTTTAATCTATCTGTAATACGGAGAATAGTTAACGGCCCAGTAGTGCATTTTCTATTCAAGGCCCATAATTGCCAAATATTTATTTTCGTTTATATAAAGACGGCGATGAGTCAAGTATGTGATATATATATATACACACACACACTTTCGACCTTCTAGAAGAGAAGGGAGTAGCTAAGCTTTGTCTTATTCTCCTATTTTCATGGAGGAATCTCGCATTCTATTGGAAGACATAAATCGAAATAGTGGTCCGAAGATAAAATGGCAGTTGTTTATTTATTTAGTCATAACCACAAAAAAAAAACATTTTGGAACTTTGTACCATGAGAAATATCAAAAGTTTTGAGGCAGCAGTAGTAACTGAGCAAAGCATATGTTTTATTTTGTTATTTTTATATACGAAGATGATCATCAAGTAATAAATAAATTTTAAATATAATATATAAAGCTAACGATAAATTAATTTTCTATTCTGTTTTTTTCATTAAGATAAAAAATAAATTTATAAATATATACGTAAAGTTTAATTTAATCAAAGTAGATATTTTTGAAGTTATATATCATCGATCGTTAAAAAGGCTATAAAACGCCCCCACATGAATCCCATGCAACCACTATCCTCATTCATCAACAATATAGACCAAATAAAATTCAACCCCATCACAGTTCATAGCCATGCAGGTCGTGAAACCACACGCCGCCATTTTAGCAAGCCCCGGTATGGGCCACGTCATCCCCGTGATCGAGCTCGGCAAGCGTCTAGCCGCTGGCCATGGCTTCCGCGTCACCGTCTTTGTCCTCCAAGCCGACCAAGCCTCCGCTCAGTCCCAGTTTCTGAACTCACTCGGCCGCGACGCAGCCCTCGTCGACGTGGTCGGCCTTCCCTCGCCGGAAATCTCTACCGCGGCTGACCCATCAGCCCACTTGGGGATCTCGATTCCGGCCATTATACGAGAGGCCTTCCCGGCCCTCCGGTCTAGGATCTCAAACATGCAACATAAGCCGACCGCTCTCATCGTCGACTTGTTCGGCACCGAGGCTTTGCCACTTGCCGATGAGTTCAATATGTTGAAGTATGTTCTGATAGCTTCCAATGCGCGGTTTCTCGCGGTGGTTATGTATTTCCCGACGCTTGACAAAGCCGTCGAAGAAGAGCACGTCAACTACAAGAAACCGCTCGATATACCGGGTTGTGAACCTGTCCGGTATGAGGATACTCTCGACGCATATCTCGACCGGACCAGTCCGTTGTACCGTGGGTTGATCGATTTCGGTCGGTTTCTTCCGACGACCAATGGTATATTGGTGAATACGTGGGAAGAAATGGAGCCCAAGTCGTTGAAATCGCTGCAAGACTCGAAATTCCTCGGAAGGATTGCCCGTGTACCGATTTATCCAATCGGTCCGTTGTGCAGACCGGTCGAACCGTCAAAAAATGGAAACCCGGTTTTGGAATGGTTAGGCAAACAACCGGACGAGTCGGTGCTTTACGTCTCTTTCGGGAGCGGAGGTTCTCTTTCGCCTAGGCAGCTAACCGAGCTGGCTTGGGGTCTCGAATTGAGCCGACAACGTTTCGTGTGGGTGGTCCGGCCACCGGTCAACGGCCCTCTATTTTAAAATTTGTGTTTTCTTGTATATAAAAAACACTAATAATTAATACGGGAAATTAATGTTTGGAATTTTTATATCATTATGTAGTATTTACAAGGTACAATAGTATAAAATCGACATAATAAACTGTTACCTTAAGATCTTTAATATATATATATATATATGTATGGAATTTACTTGATTGTGTAATAATCAATCCGAAAATTTAATAACCACAATTGGACCTCCAAATATAGAAGACCAACGAAGTGGACTATGATGCATAAAGTGTATTATTAATTTTTCTGGGAAGATAATTTGATTTTGTAAATAATATTTTAATATTCCCAGTTGGTATTGTTTACATCACAGATCCGTTTTCCAGTGATTGCAATAATATTTTTTCCCATTAAAACTGGATTTTTTTTAATTGATAAAATAAGACAAGATTCCCTAGTAGTGTTGACATCCTATAAGAGAAGGGAGTAGCTAAATTTTGTCTTATGTTCGTCACACTCATCAATTTGTGTTTCTTTAATGGCGGAATCTTGCATTTTATTGGAGCATAGAGATTGGGGAAAACGAAATAAAGGTATCTCTTCGCTTATCACAACACCGCATGTGACAGTTCCTCTAAGATATGGTACATATTGTTCAACTATATAGAATGCCCAAGACCCGACGACTCTGTTTCGGGCCCATATTAAACCCATAGATGATTGTACTGTTTTAGTGTGAATTATGTAAAAACTAAATTACGGAAAAAGAAGTTGCAAAAAAAAAGTTCATGTTTTATTTATTATGGTTTTTATTTAAATGTAATAATCACATTCCGGTGTCGTTGGGTCTAAGACAGCTTCTTTTATCCCGACAAAGGGTTGTGCTAGAGACAGTTGTCGCCGCCACAGCACGACATTTGTTTTTACAGTCATCGTTTAGTTTTTTAGGAGAAAAAAATACAATTAATTAAGAGTAATTGTAATTATCACTAGTTGTTATCATGTGCTTAAAGCCGGTCCATATTCTTACAACCGGATCGTGGGGCTCCACGTGGCCCATTTGTCATCCTTGAAAGTTTACATCGAATCATGACTATTATAACAGTAAATGATGGTGTTTGTTTATAATTAACATCTGAATCAGTGAATAATTTTTTAATTAGTAGTTAATAACCTCGAGGTACAATATTTTATGGAAAGTGACGGCATTTCATAAATGTATTGGTTTCCAAGAGAGAATAAAAAAAATATGGTCAATAACCAAAGTTTTAATCCAGTGATCAAAGGAAAGGGCGTAGCCGTAATGATGTATGTGTATGTACCAGATTATATTAGAGATTGGATAATCTTCTGTTATTGATTAAATTAAAATTAAAATTAAACAGAGATTTGAATATGAATATCTTATTTTACTCGGCCGATCCAAAGTCCGCCTCCCAGGGCTTTGGGATTAAATCTCATTTAAGATTTCGGATTAAGTCCAAGTAATCCCAGATTAAGGCGAGATTAATGGGCTAAGAGCACATGAACCAATATGCATTTTCACACAGCCATATGTGTGAACATAACACTGCGATGATAAATGATAAATTTATTTTTTGTTTCTAAGCTCCGATTTTGTTAATGCATAATTATATTTTTAATTATTTATTCAAGGAGTACAAGGGTTTACTACTACTTTATTTAAAGGTTTATTATTAATAATCGGTGGACAGCCCACACAAAGCGATTTAATAATTAAAAGTACAAAAACATAAATTAATCAATGAATAGCTTTCGATTAATCTAAGCAAAATCGTAGGGAATATTTCGACCAATGTCGATCTGTTAAGCAAAGAGATGAGAGAGTTGGATTAGGGAAACATGGGAGGCAACTGTCGGGATAAACTTGACATATAATTCTTTAATCAGTTTTATGTAATTTAATTGGGATTATTTAGTCGACCGTAATTAATTACGCATTATTAAAATGACAAATTAATCATAAATCACCACTCAGATGCATGTGAAAAAAAAAAAGAGGAATCGTCCCTCTGCCATAACGCATCTTCCTCCCATTTATTATATTTATATTATATGGATACATATGAAATTAATTTAGTAAATGTTACAAAAAAAAAGAAAATGGAATTTATAAAGGGTTGAATCGGATCCTTATCCCTTATAACCATATTTTTTTACCAGTTTTGCGTTTTGTCCGAGGCAAACTAACGTACGCAACCCCAAATCTTATCCACATATGCTTCAATATGGAAACCATAGGTTTAAGTCAAAAACTAATCAATGCGCCTACTACAACATCCCCCCCTTAATGGGTAAGCAAAAATCAAGATGCTTACGCCGCTTTTCATTTGTTATATATATATATAATCGCATAATGAATAGATTAAAGAATAATCATATAATTAATAAACTGAATATTTATAGGGATACCTTACAAGATTCAACGGAAATGATCTTGAGCCACGAAAAAAAAAAGAAGAGGAAGCTTTAAGAACAGGACACGACACGACAATGTTGCTAACTAATGGGGGGAAAAAACATAACCTACGATACTCACTTATTCCAGTAATTTATACCCATTTTACTTTATTATTTTATTTTATTTTATTTTCCAGTCGCTATAATAATTTGTTTACTAACTTCTGTGTGTGTTGTTTTTTTGGGGATCCACATCAGTCTTATCCAATTATCTCACCAACCTTATTATTTTCCCCGGAATATTACACAATTTTCATCTCAAAACTTAGACAAATTCACCGATAATTTTATTTTCAATCACGTCGTAATTTGAAAAATCCATCCACGTCGATTATATATACAAATGATGCGTTTATTTGCTTTGATTTCGCTAGTTGTTAGCTACATCTCAATATTGAAAAACTACTATTCTATGTAAACTAGCTAGCATAATACTAACTATGTATTAAAAGGGATTCTTTATATAAACCTCGGGTCAATGTACACAAACCTTAGCATATGAAACCATGGTGTTATTAATTTATGATTCCCTCATTTTCGTTTCTTATCACACGCTCCAATAAGTACGGACGAATAGCAGCATGGCACGTCATAATTTGTAGATACAATAATCCTAAACTCATCCGGCAAAAGGAGATTCGTAAACTAATCATGTTTTATTTATTAAGACACAAGCGATGGCATAAGGGAAATAACGCGGAAAAAGGCAGACCTCAACCCTAACTCTCCAGCTTATAAAACCCTCCTTAGGCTCCACAGCCATTCTCATCCACTCTTCCTCCCAGAACACACACGCACCCCTTCACAGCCACAGAGAAAGAGACAACATATTTGAAAACGAGAGAGAGAGCATAAAAAACAAGAAGAAGAAAATGTATCATCTTCATAATTTGGATGAGCTCTTGATGTTCATGCCGCATGAGTACCCTTCGGGTTCCTCCATCCAAACTCCACCTTTGCATGGTACAGTATTACTCTCCTTGCCCATAGCTGTCCATATGAATGCTCCTCGATCCATGTGATGATGACGATGATCGATTAGGTGAGACAAAGCCACTGGTGATAAGGAGGAGGAGGAGGATGAGGAGGAGGAAAAGAGGGTCATCGCCATCATCATCAGAGGCTGAGATGGTGGGTTCGAGGAAGAGGAAGCTGAGCGAGGAGCAAGCGAAGCTCCTCGAACTGAGCTTCGTGAGAGAGCAGAAGCTCGAGTCAGAGAGGAAAGAGAGGATTGCCGCTGAGTTAGGGCTCGAACCCAGACAGGTCGCCGTCTGGTTCCAGAACCGTAGGGCTCGTTGGAAGAACAAGAAGCTCGAGGAGGATTTCTTCAAACTCCAGACTCTCCATGACGATGTTGTCCTCCAGAAATGTCACCTCCAGTCTCAGGTACTCTTTTTTCACGTGAATTTACTATTATTTTTTTATCTATTATCGTATATTTTGATGTGGTTTTGAATAATTCTAGTGCAAATGCAAATCGAAGATCTTGATTAAAATCGAATATTCGATCCGATGTGGGTTTAGGGTGAGCGATTACATAACGGGTTTTAAGGGGCTAAATACATTTTTTAAAATGATCAACAAAAAGAACAATGGGCACGTGGCAGGTTGTTGTTCACTTGTTTGGGTATTTATCGCCTTTTTTTTTTTTAAATTCTAAAGTTATAACAGTGATATAGACAAGTTTTATAGTATGATAAATATGCAATGAAATTTGTTTTTTTTGTCCTTGGTGAATTTGTAGGTAGTAAAACTCAAAGAACAATTGTCCGAGGCCAAAAATAAAATTCGACAGCTCGCGGAACGAAGCGGAGGAACATCGACCAATAAAAGCTCGAGTTCGTCTCCCTCAGGCAATTTCGTACCAGAAAACGATTACGATATTGATATGTTTTACATGTCGGAGAATAATTATATACTCCAACATATGGAATGGATTCCTCTATATATGTAATTTACATGTAAAGTAAACATCTGCATGTTTTTGTGATCTATTATTTGATCAATGTGATGCGTATCATACACCAATTGTTTCGGATAAATCGTACAATTTCCAAACCTTTAGGAGGAAAAAAAAGTTGACACCTATGTAAGATATACACAAAATGAAAATTTATTTTTTTAAAATATACCAATTATGGATATTAACTTAATTATAAAATTTATCAAAAACTTAACCCAAATATGAATAACTAATATAAAATTATGAATTATATATTTTTTTATCTCTTCCTAATTCCAAAAACTTTCAAACAGTACAAATCTTAAAAAAACAAGGCTTCTCGGAATACAATCATTGAAAAATAGAAAAAAAACTTAACATTTACAAATTCGATTAAAACAATTCTGAAAAACCAACAATTTACAGGGAAAATACAAAAAACACTAATATTAATAAACAAGGATTTTAGTATAACAAAGACACTACTAAGTAAAACTAAAATAATGATCAAACATAGCTGCATCCATCAACTACTACTTCTGCCAACAGCCCATCCTAATCCCAGAAAGTCGAGTGTTGTCTGTTTCGTACCAAACACAGAGGAGTTTCCCATCATCAGCTCTTGCAAACCCGAGCCACCATCTCCGCCGCCACAAGACAGTCCCAGTCCGAGCCCATGAAACGAGTCGTCACTGCTCTGAACCATGGTCGATGGAGAAGATGGGACCATGCCTAATCTGTGAAGCAACGACCCCCCTGAAACTCCCATCTCGGCGGCTTTCTGAAGCAGAGCGGTGGCAGACATGGCTGGCTGAGACAGAGGGTTCAGGAACTGAGCTGGGTCCTGCAGGGTAGACCCAAATAAGGATAACCCATGATTTGACGAGAGGCGGAGAGAGATGGGTTCGATGGGTGTGGACGGTGCATAGAGATTCGGCGAAGCTGTGGAAGAAGAAACGTATAAGCTTGGCGAGGCAGTCGACGACACAAACAGGCCAGCGAACACACTGTTACTGTCACTGTAACTTCCTTTTGTGCTTGGGCTCGAGCCGGTGCTATTGCTGGTGTTCACGTTCAAGCCAATCGTTCTTGGAGATTCTTCAATAACTTCAGGATAGTTTTCTTGGGATTCTGCGGCTAAGGCAGACAAATGAGAAGGGTCATTTACATAAAGGTTGAGACTTTTTCTTTAATAAATCATAAATGTATGAACTTTGATCTGAAAAAAAGCAGAATCAATCATGGTTTTCATGTCTTTGAGATCACGCAATGGTAAAACAGAGAACACGTAACAGAGGTTTTCTCGGAGTTCTTAATTTGGCTAAGCCGTAAAAAACACTTCACATCAGGACATAACGCGATCCAATACGCCAAAGTTTCCGAATTTGGAATACGGGCGAAGAACATTACCTGAATGCTGAATAGATGAGGACGAGGAAGATACGATTTTAGCAGGTTTAGTAGCATCAACCTGACCAGCAGCAGCGGCAGAAGCCGCCGTCGCGGGAGCTGGAGGGCACCACGTCTGGACCTAGGTCGGATCTGCGATTTTAGCAGGTTTAGTAGCATCAACCTGACCAGCAGCAGCGGCAGAAGCCGCCGTCGCGGGAGCTGGAGGTGGGACCGAATCCGCAGCTGGCGGCGGCGGAGGCGGCGGAGAATGAGGGGCGGCGGGGGGTTTCTGGTCGGGTTCCAGACTTTTCCGGGAACCCATTTCAGGATTCTGCTGCTTCCTGTGGTTGTGGTTTCGGGCGCTATCTTCAGCCAAAGCGTCGCAGAAAGCCCTGTGCGTTATAAAGCTATCTCTCCTGCATGAGAATCGAACGAAACTCAAGAGGTTAAATTAAACTAAGAAGCAGAGACTGAAAAGGAAAAAAAGATCGAATTCAGTTATTATTTTCCGGCGAACCTTGAAAACAGAGTTCCGCAGTCGCATTTGTACTCCTTGGTGCCGCAAATCTTCGAATGCGCCTTCCAGTCGGACTGGACAGCGTACTTCTTCGAACATTTCTCGCACTTCCACTTCTTCTCGCCGTGTTTCCGACAGAAGTGTTTCTTGATTCCGGTGAGATCCCCCAGCGCGCGTGAGGGGTCGTGATGAACACAGGTGGGTTCCGGACAAACATATACCTTCTTCTTCACCTCCTTGCTCGATCTCTGTTGGAGCTTCCATGGCAGATTGTGGCCTCGACGGTGGAGCTGGAGATTCTGGTCACGCTGGAAACCCTTGTTGCAGATTTCGCAGACGAATCGGTTCGTCGCTAGTAGGGTTTTCGGAGACAGAGATATGACTTCCGCCTCTGGATCTGAAACCCATGTTCAGCAACAGGAATCAGCAAAAAAAGAATCAAATTTCTCTGATAGAGACAAAAATCAACTGAAAGATGGAATTTTGAAGCTACCAGGCATGCCGGGAAGGCTGCGCTTCTTTTTTCCGGCTGATCTGGGAGGTGGATTTAGATTTCCAGCGGAGGAGACGCTTGCCTCGGCGGAAATTGTGGATGAGTTATCCATGTCCACCGGCATGTGTAGTGTAGAGGAAAAAAACAAAACCACCAAAGTAAAACTGCACAAAAAGAAATTCCCCCAAACAAGCCCAGAAAGAAAAAGAGATGGACTTGTCTCGGAAATTTCCCAGAAAAAACAGAGAATTTTCCGTCAATCCGGTTTCTTCTAGGGTTTATCGGGGCCAATTGCAAAAATGCCCTTAAATGATACATTGTACTTCAAGTGATACCCTCCATAAAAAAAAGAAAAAAGACAACATCAAATATAACCTTATAAATGTAGTTTCCCTATAATACCCTTTTACTAATTTATATAATTTAATAAAACAAAAATATTTTTTTTATATTTCTCTCTCCTCTCTCCACCTCTCTCTCCCGCTCTCTCTCTCCTTTCTTCCATTTTTTCGCGCCTATATTACGCTCTCTCTCTCTTCTCTCTCTCTCTTCAAGCTCCTCCTCTACAGTGTGGATTCTCACCAAATTTGTTGAGAGAAACAAGCGAAATCTCCAATAATCTCATCCAATAAGCATAGATCTCATATATAGGTAAGTTTTCTTCTTTAAATTCCGTTATATACTTTGGGCATTTAGGATTTTTTTTTTATGAAAGGGTTTTGTTGTTTTCATGTTTATATTCGACTCATATGGTATAAATGAGTAAAATGTGACATATATATCAATAGCATGTCGTATTTTGTAGACTTAATTGAGTTAAATCAATATTATCATGATTCACATTAGTCAAATTGGTCACATTAATTAAACTATGTCAAACTGGTCAAACTCTTCTAAATAATCAGAATCGACAAACCCATCTAACCGGTCATATTGACGAAACTGGTCAAACTGGTCATACTTGTCAAACTGGTCATACTGGTCAAACTGGTCATACTCGTCAAACTGGTCATACTCGTCAAACTGATCATCATATATCTCACATTTTGTGTTTATTTTATACAGTCATAATGGATGCAAGTGATGAAAGAATGACGATTATTTATTACAAGTCTGGTGGCAAGTGGACATTGAATTCGAGTGGGGAATATGAATGGGATGGAAAAGTTAAAGATGGTAAAGGAATGATATTCCTTTTTCCTCCGACTGATTTGACATACAACCAGCTTGTTGAAGAGTTACATTCTGAACTGGACGTAGATAAAGATAAAACAGCTATCAAGCTAAGTTACTTGCCGACTATAAAAGGAAATAGTGAGCCGATTTACATATCGAATGATAAGCAAGTGTTTATTTATCTCATGGACAAAATAAACGGAGGAAGGAGCATGCTTCACGTGGAGATTGAAAAAGTAAAGCTGCGAGCAAGGGAATATGGAAAAGATAACGGTGTGGAATACATTCCTGATTCCGTTAGTGGTATTGGTATTGGACCATATGGGGCTGTACTTTATGCAGGTTATAATAACAATATGATTCAGAGTCCTGATTTCAAAAGTAAAGCTGCGAGTAATACGATACAATTTATAGATGATTCGGATAATGAAGATACTATTGTTGTAGGAGAAGATGCAATTGTTTTGAAAGAGAAACCTGCAATTGGTATAGCCTGTGGAACCAACAAAGTCGACTTTGTTGATTGTGATGGTGCTGGAGATGGAGATGGAGATGGAGATGATCTAAATAATTTGGCTGTGGTAGCTGCGGAGGACACATCGTTTTCTCTTTCTGTATTCAATTTTACCGATGGGTTGAATATAAGTATTGGTTATGAGTTTGATAGTAAGGAAGCAGCTCAGGAATATGTACGGATAGGCGCAGTTAAGGCTTGTTTCGGTTATGCTACAGTAAAGTCTGATAAGAAACTGTGGGAATTAAGATGCAAGTTTTATAGATCGGGTTGTGCTTGGAAATTGCGCATCGCAGCGATTCAGAATTCTGTGCGTTTTAGTGTAAGATCACATAATCCCGTTCATACTTGCAGACCAGTATCCGAATCAGAAAAAGCTTTGAAAGGTTCAGCAAAGTTGGTTAGAGATTATTTAAAGGAAGAATACGCTGGTAAGCTTGAAACTCCCACAGCAAAAGAGATAGTAGAACGAGTGCAACTCAAGTACGGTGCGAGTGTATCATATATGATGGCATTGAGAGGAAAGCACAGTGCTGAAAATGAGATTCGTGGTAATCATGTTGAACATTACAGTAGGCTTCCTGGTTGGTTGCACATGTTGACGGAAAGAAATCCTGGGACTATAGCGAGCATTCAATTGGAAGATGATAAAAAAACTTTCAAATATCTCTTCATCGCCTTGGGTGCCACTATAAAAGGATGGAACTATATGCGTAAAGTGATTGCTATTGATGCAACATTTCTGACGAGCCAATATAAGGGAGCATTGATCGTGGCAACTGCCCAAGATGGTGATCATCACCAATATCCTTTAGCTTGGGGTGTGATAGATAGAGAGAAGGATGCTTCATGGTTGTGGTTTATGACAAAATTAAGCGAAGTAATACCGGATGGTTCTGATGTAGTTGTGCTATCTGACCGACATAAAAGTATAATCAAAGTTGTGAGAGGAGTATACAAACAAGCGCAACATGGCTTTTATGCGAGGTGTTAGTTTAGTGCTCTATGATGTACTGTTTATGAGCTTTATTTAGTTACATTTGATGTATTAATACTTTCTATGTTTTAGGAGAGTATTTGATTCATTACATGTTCTTGCATACTAGATGTATTATGAAATCCATGTATTGTTATGAACAATTATAGATCGGGTTGTGCTTGGAAATTGCGCATCGCAGCGATTCAGAATTCTGTGCGTTTTAGTGTAAGATCACATAATCCCGTTCATACTTGCAGACCAGTATCCGAATCAGAAAAAGCTTTGAAAGGTTCAGCAAAGTTGGTTAGAGATTATTTAAAGGAAGAATACGCTGGTAAGCTTGAAACTCCCACAGCAAAAGAGATAGTAGAACGAGTGCAACTCAAGTACGGTGCGAGTGTATCATATATGATGGCATTGAGAGGAAAGCACAGTGCTGAAAATGAGATTCGTGGTAATCATGTTGAACATTACAGTAGGCTTCCTGGTTGGTTGCACATGTTGACGGAAAGAAATCCTGGGACTATAGCGAGCATTCAGTTGGAAGATGATAACAAAACTTTCAAATATCTCTTCATCGCCTTGGGTGCCACTATAAAAGGATGGAACTATATGCGTAAAGTGGTTGCTATTGATGCAACATTTCTGACGAGCCAATATAAGGGAGCATTGATTGTGGCAACTGCCCAAGATGGTGATCATCACCAATATCCTTTAGCTTGGGGTGTGATAGATAGAGAGAAGGATGCTTCGTGGTTGTGGTTTGTAACAAAACTAAGCGGAGTAATACCGGATGGTCCTGATGTAGTTGTGCTATCTGATCGACATAAAAGTATAATCAAAGCTGTGAGAGGAGTATACAAACAAGCGCAACATGGCTTTTGTGCGAGGCACATAGCACAGAATTTAAAAGTGCACGTGAACAGAGGCACAAGAAGAAAGGGTTCAAATGGTGAGACCGTCACTAAATTGTTTTTTAAATGTGCAGCAGCCTACACGATCAGTGAGTTTGAAGAGTTGTACAATGATCTAAAGAGCAGGTATGATTCTTGTGATTAATATGATTGACTAATGTGACCAGTTTGACTAGTATTATTTATGAACTAATGTGAATATATCTCATTATGTGTAAATATCCCAAAGTAGCCGAGTACATGCAGAAGGAAGAACTTGCACCCGAGAAATGGGCAAGGTGTAAATTTAGGAGTGAAAGGTACAACTTGTTAACAACCAATGGGGCCGAATCGATCAACTCCGTATTGAAGAAGGCAAAAAAGTACCCAATCCTAAGTCTACTTGATATTTGTCTCGGAAAGACGGTGGAATGGTTTAACAGGCACAGGTTGGAAGCAGGTAGTGCTGATGAATCTCAAAAGTTAACACCAATTGTTTACAAAGAGTTGCATGAACGTTATGAGAGGGCATGTACGTTTGACGTTCAAGAACTGAATCGTGTTACTGGCGAGTTTGAGGTGAGGGATGACAAAGGTAGAAGACACTTGGTTAATCTTGGAGAAAGAACATGCGGTTGTAGAATGTTTGATGTGGATAGGTACCCTTGCAGTCATGCAATCGCAGCAGCACATATGATCGGAAAAGGCGATATGATATACGATCTATGTTCTGAATACTATAGGCGGGATACATGGCGTATGGCTTACCAAGAGACTGTGTATCCGGTTCCCGATTATTGTGATTGGAATCTGCCATCGTTCGTTGCAGAAATGACGGTTTTACCGCCTATAGTGGAAGAAAAACGGGTGAGTGGAAGACCTAAACAAAACCGATTTCTTGGACCTGGTGAGACTCGAAAAAGAAAATCATATTCGGTAGGTTCGGTTAGTACGTCAATCGATGTCACAGACGTATATGAGCAATGAATTTGTATTTGTATTTGTATTATATACTACATTTATTATGAATTTGTATTCAAATCATATGATGAAGACTTTGGTGTAATTTGTATTTGTCATGAATTTGTATTCGTTTTATATAATTTGTCATGAATTTGTGTTCTTTAATATATTCGTCAAACTGGTCGTCAAACTGGTCAAACCAGTTTGGGGTTTTGGATACGGTGTGACGAGATGAGTTTGACGAGTACTGACGAGTGTGACGGGTACTGACGAGTGTGACGGGTTTGACGATTTGTGAAAACGAATCGATGGTCTAAATTAAGTTCCGACGGTTCAGGGTGGTGTATAGGGGTTATTATAACATATTTAACGAGTTTTTGTTAACCGTAACTCATGGGAGAAAAAACTATTTCCTACCCTAAGCCAATGTGTTAGGAGAACACTAATAGAGCTTTAGGGTTTCTTTGAGAGAACATGCATTGTGAGAATAAAAAAGGTGTTAAAATTTGAGAGCTAGACTGAGATGCATCGTGAGATACTTGATGAATGAGATGATAATTGATAAGTTTACAGTTTGCATTAGCCCAATTCGCGAAAACCGATACGGTGAGACGAGTTTGACGAATACTGACGAGTTTGACGAGTACTGACGAGTGTGACGGGTACTGACGAGTGTGACGGGTTTGACGATTTGTGAAAACGAATCGATGGTCTAAATTAAGTTCCGACGGTTCAGGGTGGTGTATAGGGGTTATTATAACATATTTAACGAGTTTTTGTTAACCGTAACTCATGGGAGAAAAAACTATTTCCTACCCTAAGCCAATGTGTTAGGAGAACACTAATAGAGCTTTAGGGTTTCTTTGAGAGAACATGCATTGTGAGAATAAAAAAGGTGTTAAAATTTGAGAGCTAGACTGAGATGCATCGTGAGATACTTGATGAATGAGATGATAATTGATAAGTTTACAGTTTGCATTAGCCCAATTCGCGAAAACCGATACGGTGAGACGAGTTTGACGAATACTGACGAGTTTGACGAGTACTGACGAGTGTGACGGGTACTGACGAGTGTGACGGGTTTGACGATTTGTGAAAACGAATCGATAGTCTAAATTAAGTTCCGACGGTTCAGGGTGGTGTATAGGGGTTATTATAACATATTTAACGAGTTTTTGTTAACCGTAACTCATGGGGAAAAAAACTATTTCCTACCCTAAGCCAATGTGTTAGGAGAACACTAATAGACGAGTTTGACGGTGAGACGAATTTGACGGGTACTGACGAGTGTGACGGGTACTGACGAGTGTGACGAGTACTGACGAGTGTGACGAGTTTGACAATAGTAAGAAGATTTTACCCGATAAAATACATATGATTAAAATATGTTCGGAGAGTACACACGATTCAAATACAACTAATTAAAAAGAGGATTATGGGTTCATGAAGAAGAATCTTGACGTTCCTCTGGAGACACCGTTACTTCTTGGCCATTAGCAAATATATCGCAAGCAAGTTTTTCACGTATAAAATATATTACCTCATCGTTGACTTCCTCCAATAACTTCGGTTCACCCATGTAGAGTGCTTCTGCATATTTGATGCTGTACACACCACATTCACTTCCTGTTTCGTTTTGAGGTATGCCAGATACAAAGTCGATGGAAAACTTGTTTGAAACGTCAATTCGGCCGGTCCCGCTAACCCTGAAGGCATCTGGGATACTTCTGCTTAAGTGATGAATGACTTTAACCGTGGCCTCCTTCATATTTGGGTTGCAGTCGTACACTTCGATCACAGTCCTGGTGAAGTCCACTTTAACGGTGACCCAATGGACTCCTATGTTAGGGTTTGCCAAGGACGGAATATTCAGCACACTGATGAAACCTTTGTAGTGTTCCAATTTCCTGCTACCACCGTCAAGTGGCAAGTCCCCACTCATGTATTGTCCAACACCACCGATTTCTTTTTGCCCCATTTCCCACCATTTGAAGTATTCACAACAACGTACGTCACAGAGGAAGTACTTCCTGTGGCACGGTGAAAATTTTTTTACACGTTTCCGGATTTCGTGCATTGCTTCGTCGATATGCTGTAAAACAAAAAATAAAACAGTCAAACTAGTCAAACCAAATATGAATGGTCAAACAACGAAACTAGTATAATCGGTCAAAATACTTACATTGTCTTTGAGCCATACACCTTCTTGTAGAAAGTCTTCGAAAAATCGTGATTTCCTTACGTGATTCAACCTCGATATCCAAAACCTCTCTTCTCTTGGTTTTTGCATAAACTTGAAGAGCGCATTTGCTTTTCTTGTGGTCGTTTCAACAAAAGACTCAGCTCGCACAATATTGTCCATTATTATAGGCTCTCGAGGAATCCATACGTAAACAGGGCGTTTGCGTTGACCAGTAGGAATCTCAGATTCCACCACCGTAGATTGCACCGGGACATCACCATCCAATGGGATCGCAGGATCCTTGGGATCAGATTCCTTGGGCTCAGATTTCTCCGGCTCAGATTCCTTGGGCTCAGATTCTTTGGGCTCAGATTTCTCCGGCTCAGATTCCTTGGGCTCAGATTCCTTGGACTCAGATTTCTCCGGCTCAGATTCTTTGGGATCAACTTCTTGATGAATTACATCATCAATTTGGGTCGCATGATCCTTGGGAGCAGAATCCTTTGGATCAGATTCCACATGAACTTCATCATCATCAATTGGAGGCACAGAATCTTTGGGATCAGATTCCACATGATCCTTTTTCCCTTTTTTCCCCCTTTTTCCCTTTCTTCCTTTTCGACCTTTGGTTTCTCTCTTTGTTCGTTGTTTTTTGGAAGGTGGATCTGTCGATCCAAAGGCAGTGTATGGACTTTTAACAGCCTTTTTTCTTTTGCGCATCGGTCGTTTACTCTGTTGAACCGACTCCTTAGGAGCAGCAGGATCGAACATTACTCTATTGGAGTTTAAACCCGAAACAAACACATAAACACAAAGACAAAGAGAGGACGAACGACGCAATCAATTTTTTCGGTGAGTGTACCATACCCTCATCATCATCAGATGTTGCTTTAGGCGTAGCACGAATCTCTTCTTCTCCCTCTTCATCAACATGAGATGTTGCTTTTGGCGTAGCATGAATCTCTTCATCATCATCAGATTCCCGCACAGATTCATGCCCTGCGTATAACCAATTAAACAATTTAACAGAGTTATATGTTCAAACTCGTCATACTAGTCAAACTCTCCAACCCAAATAATTGAGACGAGTGTGACCATGTATGACTATACTAGTCACACTAGTCAAACTCGTTAACCCAAATAAGTGTGACTGGTGAGACCATATATGACTACACTTATTACACTATTCAAACTCTAAACAAAACTAAATATTAAACTGTATGACTTTACCTCGCTCATGCTTTGAAAAAGCCACATTCTCTTCTGAAGAACGAGATCTCAATTCGAACTCGGTGTTCGTGTTATAGTGACTACCCGTTGAAACATCATCCTCTTTGTTGCGCTTTATCTCAGACCAATCTATTGCTTCAACGGTGATTCCTGCCCTCTTCAGAACCCTTTCAACTTTTTCAATTATCCTTCTTTCGATCTTTTCAGTTAACCTCTTTTCGACTTTTGCAATTATCCTTTTTTCCAATATCTTTTCAAAAGATATATTTTTCCCTTCTTCTCCTCTTTCTTCTTCTTCTTCTTCCTCTTCTTCTTTTTCTTCTTCTTCTTCTTCTTCTTCTCCTTCCACATCCATTCTTTTTCCTTCTTCTTCTTTTTCTTCAGATTCTTCTTGTTTTCGCTTCTTTCCCTTGCCTTTCTTCTTCCTCTTTGCATTATTGACGGAAGCTCTACCACCGACATCAAACTCACGTATTTTCTCAAAACAAATACTTCTCGGATTCATCTTCAATTGTTGCATCCAATTTTGAACCTCCGGATGACAACTTTCATCTTCATGTAGATTAAAAAAAATATGTTCTTCTCCCTCCTCTATTTGAAGAACACTTCGTATACCCTGAACAGAAATGGCGCTTGTAATCAGTGAGAACATTATGACAATTGGTTATATGAGACAGACTTATATGATCATTCACATCTGGTCATACCAGTCATACTGGTCACACTACATACCTGTGAAGTCACACCGATCTGTTTCATCACATTTGTGTGTGTGACAAACAGGCCCGGTTGGATGCGCTTCTTGCACATCCTAGGACAAGCTGGATCAGCACCTTCCACTGCCATATACCATCTGTTTGCGCCTAAGCTTTCCACGCATTCAAAAGGAAGCAACTGCAACATACCAAACAATTACATTAAACAACATCTATACTCGAACGCTCAATCAAATTAAAAAACATACAAAAAAATCTAACTTACCATAAGAGGTATCACAAATCCCGGACAATGCCATCTCTCCTTCGGTTTAGAACTGCTTGCATACATCTTCCATATTTGCTCGAATATTTTTTCAAAGGTGTATCTCCCCCAGGGAAACCCTTCACAGAACTCTAGATTATCGACCATGTCAACTAAGGTCGTGGGAATCACATCAGTGTTCTTGATACCATGGTCTAGTACTCCGCCCAACAAAACAAGTATCGCTAGTCTTTTTCTGTCTTCCACATCTGTGCTTGGAGTGTTATACAACTTCTCTAATGCCCCTGATATGGTTACCTTTG